ATGAACTACATGCCCGGCACGGCCAGCCTCATCCAGGACATCGACAGTGAGTGTGCCGCGGGACCGGGCCCTTCCCACAGCGGGTGGCTGAGGTCCCCCTTCTCCGGGGGCACCGTCCCCCGTGGGGCGACTGGTCCCCACTGTTCCCCGTGGGTGTTGCCCTCCGTGGGGTCTCTGCTTCCTGCCCCCGCCCCGTGATGCGGTTGGACTTCCCGTTCTCCTTGGGTGTTGCTGCAAGTGGGGCGGTTGGATCCTTCTTCTTTCTCCGTGGGTGATGCTCTCCCCCACCCCGTGGGGCGGTTGGACACCCCCTTTGCCGCAGGAGAGCTGCCGCCCGTGGGCACCGGTCCCGCGTGGGGCTGCTGCAGAAGGCATCCTCGCTCCCTTTCGCACTGCTAGGGCAGTTAACTGCACATCACTGGTTTCCCCACGCTGTATGTTGCAGGGATATGTGTGTGTGTGTTAATACCCACGCGTGGTCGTGGCTGATCCCTCCCACTCTCCCTCTCCCGTAGAGAAGCACCTGGTCCTGCTGCGGGACGGCCGGACGCTCATCGGGTACCTGCGCAGCATTGACCAGTTCGGTACGTCCGCACCGGGGGGGCCGGGGGCGAAGCTGCTGGGGGGGCTGCAGCAGACTTAGGCCGGGCTTTGGACGCGTTTCATGGTCCCCGCTTAACGCAGCGGCTGCACCGCCTGCAGTACCGACCCCACCGTCTGCCGGTCTTGAGCAGGCGTGTGCGTTTCCTTGGCTAAAACCAACAGGAGTTTAAAAAGAAATCGGTTTAGTTGTGCGTAGAGTGGTGTGATTGCACGTCGTGTTTTTAGAGCGTGTTTGTGTTGTGGATTAAACACCCGTCTGCGCGTCTCCCCCGGACTTGGTGGGTGCGCTGGGTGCTTCCCCCCCACCCCCCGACTGCATCCAGCATTGGTGCTCTGGCATCCCTTTTTGGGCAGAAATAGCCCAAGACGTGCACGGGTGCTCTTTGTGCTCGTGACCACTGAGTGCCTTGGTCCTTGCCCAGAACCTGCAGCACCGACAACGCCGTTATCTTCTCTGCTGTCGTCCGCACGTGGTGCTTGGGTGGGCTTGGGCCCCGGTGGTCTGAGCTCACTGCCCTGCCTGTGGGAGCTGGAGGGCAGAGGCTGCTTCGTGGCGTGGGAGCTGCCCTGCTGCTCCCGAGGTGCCATATCCATCACTGCGGCTGCTGCGTTTCAGCCGGGGAGACGGTCGGTGCCTTCGGTGACCCAGCTCGGAGGATCTGCCAAGAGGCGTGAAAAGCACCCGCACCATCGCTGCTCTGGGTTTTGTGCCTGACTGGGATAAGACACTCTTTATAGGTAGAAAACACAGCGAAATAGGGATTATTTTCTCTCTCTCTCTTGATCGCTGCAGCAAACTTGGTCTTGCACCAGACTGTGGAGCGCATCCACGTGGGCAAGAAGTATGGGGACATCCCTCGAGGCATCTTTGTTGTGAGAGGCGAGAACGTTGTTCTGCTGGGGGAAATAGTAAGTAAGCGGCTCCTTCTGTCTGCTCTCTGCCTGCAGTTTGCCTGCTGCCGGCCCGGGGCAGTGGCTCCGTTTGTGGTGATGTGACTGCCGAGGCGGATGCCGGAGCTGGGTGTCCATCTGGTTTTTGTGAAATATGGTCACTGTCCTGTTGTGGGGGCTGAAATCTGAGCCCTCTCCCGGGGCCAGCTCAGGCTTGAACCATCACAAAAATGCCCCCATTTATCCAAGGGCAGAGGGGGCAGAGGTGCCACCCCGCAGCTGCAGCTCCTCTGGAGCAAGATGAGGGGTAAAGAGCGATGTGGGGAAGCCCTGGCCTGCGCGTGGCATTGCTGCAGTGTCGTTAGTGGCTGCCTGTGGGGCTGTCACCTCCCTGCTGGCTCAGCACCAGGGGACATCGTCTGGGATGGGCTCAGAAGGAGTCAAGCACCCTCACACTGTTCACTTCAGCCCTTTGGGCTGAGCTCCCTGGTGTCCCCAGCTGTCCTGGGGGGTCCCTGCCTGCATCCCCAGCTGTCAGGGTGCCCCTGGCACCTCTGTATTTCATTGCCTCCACCTTTTGATGGGACTTGTGGAAGATGCATGGGCTCACCGCAGTCTGGGGGCCTCTGGGGCTCATCTGGAGGAGACCCTCCTGCACGTGCAAATCTATGACCATGACCCAGGCAGAACCTGAGCATTTACAGGACCAAATCGCCGAGCCGGCAAGCCCAGAGCTCAGGATGCAGACCCTGCCACGGCTCGGCTGCTCACATCAGGAACCATCCCGCTCCAGCAACTTTGGCAAGAGCGATGGAGCACATTATCCGTGGCGCAGCGGTGCCCGCTCTCCCCAGGAGCACAGCGCCTGGCCGACCGCTTGTAGGAAGCGCTCGGACGTCACCGAAGCCCAAGCACAGGAGAGGCGGGGGGGTGTCAGTGTCCCAGTGAAGACACAAATGCGGATCCCCCCCAAGACCTTTCCCATCCCCACTGGCTTTCGGCCCCTGCAGGCCGGTGCTGCCCTGGCCGGTGAGATGTGCTCGGCAGAAGCGATGTCAGCCCAGCCCCGAGCTGCCCCACGGGCAGAGCGATGCCCGGAGCATCCCACGAGTAGAGCTGCGTATCTCAGCCGTGACAGCTGCCTTGTGGTGCTAAACGGGCTGTTTCTCTTGTAGGACCTGGAGAAGGAGAGCGACACGCCTCTGCAGCAGGTCTCCATCGAGGAAATCCTGGAGGAGCAGCGGGTGGAGCAGCAGGCCAAGCAGGAATCGGAGAAGCTGAAAGTGCAGGCGTTGAAGGAGCGGGGCCTCTCTGTCCCGCGGGCAGACACCCTGGACGAGTATTAGATGTGCTGCTCCTCGGACCTTTCCTCCGCGGCAGAGCGAGGGGTGCTCCGTGATCCGCCCGTGCATGGGCAGATCTCTTTGGAAAGGCCTCTTTTTTTTTTTTTATTTTCAGATTGTGTTTTCTGTGGTGCAGATAACTGTTAAAAAAAGAAAAAATCATGCCTTTAGTTTCTCCTTGCGGAGAAGGAGGAGAGAAGGCGTTCGGCTGCCCTTTGGGATGGCCAGGTGTGCTGGGCAGCATCAGCATTTGTGTTCAGGAGGCAAATTGCTTGGTCCTTTGGGTTTGTTTGCTTTTTCCTCCTCGTATGACTCTGGCTGAGAGTTTTCCTTGACGTGTAAATAAATCCTTGATCTCAACAGCAATAGTTTTGCCTGTGTTCAGGACCTGATGCTTTCCCTTCTCTTGGGATGACCACCCTCCTGCCGACTCTTGTCCCCTCTGGGTAGGGGGGAAAACAGGACCCTTGGTTCTGCCACGGGGTGGGCTCGCTTTGAGAAAAACCTTAAGGATGTGGCGAGATCTCTCCCTCTGGGATGGGGAGCAGGACCTGGATACCCCCCACACCCCAAAGTGGC